CCACGCGTATTATTTTTCTTCTTCTTTCTTTCTTATTTCATTTTTTGCTCTTCGTCCTTGACCCTTTCTTTCTTTCTTTCTTTCTTTCTTTCTTTCTTTCTTTCTTTCTTTCTAAATTTCTCCCCATTTTCCATGCGTATTATTTCTCTTTTCTCTCTTTTCTTTTTTAATTTATTCTTCGCTTTTCATTCCCCACACTTTCTTTCTTTCTTTCTTTCCACGAGTATCCTCTTTTCCACGAGTATCCTCTTTTCTTTATTTATATATTTCTTTCCAATTTGCTCTTCATTTTTACGTGCATTCTCCTCCTTCTTTCTTTCTTTCTTTCTTTCTTTCTTTCTTTCTTTACTTCCTTATTTTATTCTTTGCCTTTAATTCCCCAGTCTTCATTCATTCATTCTTTCTTTCGTTGTTTCTTTCTACGTATATATTATTTCGCTTTTTTCTCCCATATTTCTTTCTTATGCTCATTTTCTCATTCCATTGATTTTCTTCATATTTTTTTTACAAATGTTCGATGGCTAAACTATCCACTCTAATGATACCCTTAATATTTTGACTCTAAAGTTTAATACTACTTGAGAGAAAGACACAAACACCTATTTCATGTGCTATATAACCACCAGATCTCCGGGGGATGGCGCTACAGAATCACAAAGAATTTTGACAAAACATAGAAAACACATTACTTGAGGACTTTGAACAGGAGTAACAGCTAAAATGGACGGGGCAAGACGTAGAGAAAATGACATAATTAAGATGGTTGATATTACAGAAAGGAAAGAAAACGCCAATCAAACCTGGAAAGAACGATAACAGTTACTGACCTTTAGAAAACTATTTACCTGAAAAGTTGTTTCAGAAAATGATTTTTATAAATTTCAACCGACATCAGCACCGGTTATTCGTTCAGTTAATGTCGAATAATTCCGTTATTTATATTATTCGGAATGTTATCATCATCTTCATTGTCATATTCACAATGTTTCGGCCGTTGTAAGCTTCAGCCTCCATTAGGTGATTTGAATTTCGAACCGAAACCTTTATTTTGTCCATCCGGGTAGACTGTTCTAGATCCACGTACCATGTTTCTTCCGGATGATTACCTTTAATTCAACTCTCCAAGTTTTTAATTCACCTTTGCTGTGGCTTGTTACTGAACTCACAAAATTTTAGGTCTAGTCACTGGATCTAACCAACGACTTTATCCATTGATCCATGTGTCCGAAACGTTGTGAATATGGCAGTGAAGATGAGGATAGCAGTTCGAATAATATGAATAATGTAAATAATCATAATACCACATCTCAGAGATATAGACAGATATTTGGGTCTATTCACTGGATCTAACCAACGTCTTTATCCAACGGCCGAAACGTTGTGAATATGGCAATGAAGATGAGGATAACAGTCCGAATAATGTAAATAATGTAAGTAATCATAATACCTCAACTCAGAGATATAGAGACCGAAATTTTGTGAATATGGCAATGAAGATGAGGATAATAGTCCGAATAATGAAAATAATGCAAGTAATCATAATACCTCTTCACAGAGATACAGACAGATATTTGGGTCCAGTCAGTGGATCTAACCAACGTCTTTATCCAACGGCCAAAACGTTGTGAATATGGCAATGAAAATGAGGATAACAGCCCGAATAATATAAATAATGCAAGTAATCATAATACGTCATCTCAGAGATATAGCGGTCGAAACGTTGTGAATATGACAATGAAGATGAGAATAACAGTCCGTATAATATAAATAATGCATGTAATCATACTACGTCATCTCAGAGATATAGACAGAGAATGTTTCCGTGTCAGGTAACGGTTAATCACTAACATCTCATCGCCATATCTTAACAAAATCTTTCTTTACTGGTATGGTGTGATACATCATAAAAAAAAGAAAAAAAACCTAATCGGAACTTTCACCGAATTAAGCAATTTTCACGTAACTTAACCAATCAAGTAGTAATTAGAAAAAAGAAAAGCCGTTAGTTGAAGATGACTTTATTTTCAGAGTTTTTTTTTTTTTTTTTTTTTTTCAATTTTACCCAAAGAAAGACATTTAAGCCACTAAAAAAAACAGGAAGTTACTGAGCGAGTACAGATAAATAATCAGGAGGAAGGTAGATAACGATTGATATTGCATTTAATATTTTCAAGATCAGAGTTGGCTGGAAAGAAGGGAGTTACACAAACGAGAAGTGCGAGTAAAAAAAAAACTCTTAGCATAGATCATACGGTTACATCTAGCCAACTCAACTGTATATCGAAGAAAACCCTGTTGCAAGTTTCCTTCTGCGCTTATATTCATAAAGTCTGGGTACCATAGCGAAGAGTTTATCCCAACGAATACCATGAAAGGGTTTACAGAAAAGGCACAGTGATGCAACATTACGGAGGTGGCAAAGTCACTGAAGCCAAGTCGTAAGATCAGGACCAGTAATATTGCTGATTCTCAACTTAATGATGAAGTCTCGTTGCTAGTTTAGTTCTGCCTTTATATTAATAAAGTCGAGGAAAGTTAGCGATATTTAATTGTATAAAAAAATACAAAATATAGCACAAGGCCAAAATGGAGAATAGGGAAAAGGACGGTCTTTTTCTGATTAACGATAAACTTATCTAGCCACAAAAACTGACCCAAACATAAAACAATATTCCTTACACCAAAATAACGCATACTTATTTAACATTTCTTACCACATCCACCATAATACCTCATTGTCTCTATAAAAGACCTAAGTAGTCCCCCTATGTACTGTGTGTTGGTGGGATATAACAACAATTAATAACTAAAACCCGATATGTATTTATAAAGCGATATTTATTCCGCTTAAATACAGAAATGTGGCACAAGGCCAAAATGGGGAATAGGGAAAAGGACGGTCTTCTTCTGATTAACGATAAACTTATCTAGCCACAAAAACTGACTCATATATACAAAAACAAGGATGACCTAGCAGTACTATCGGGTCCACAAGTAGTTGGTCTTCGACGATGGAATCACGATTGGCTCGCCATTTCGTGTGACCTGGCTCAGGATCGGCGAGCGTGGGCAGCGATGGTCCGTGATGCTGTACTTGCTCAGGAGGAAGCCGGTTCAACCGACCAGGGTGAAAAACCGATCCAAAAATGCAAGCAAAGTATATATATACAAGCATATTACTTACACTAAAACAACCCATTCTTACTTACCTTTTTTTACTACATCCACCATAATACCATAGAGTCTCCATGAATGTCCTAACTAGTCTCCATTTGTAAAATTCTTGTCTGTGCCTTTGTGGGGGTGGGATATAGCAACAATTAAAAACTAAACTCCAGTCTGTATTTACAAAGTAAAGAGCCATATTTATTCTGTTTAATACAAAGAAATGTGGCACATGACCAAAAAGGGGGATTCGGGAAAGGACGGTCTTCTTCTGTCTTAATTATAACTTAGCTAGCCACAAACACTGACCCAATCGTACAAACAATATTCCTGTCACCAAAACAACACATTCATACGTACCTTTCTTACTACAACCACCGTAATACCTCATTGTCTCTATGAAAATAATAACTAGTCCTCATCTTTACAATTCATTGTCTGTGGAGGCAGGGGAATAAATACAACAGTTCTAAAAAAGACTAGCCCCAATGAGTATTTACAGATATGAATACAAAACTATTTACAAGAAACTAAAGAAAAATAATATGCGTAATAACCCCCACCCCCGACACACACACACACACACACAATCCTTGAATGGGGCAGAAACATCAGTTAACTGGCTGAAATTGATGCGGAACTATAATAGTCTAAAACATTCATTCATCACAAGCACTCACACTAGCATGCACTCATTCAGACACAACAACAAATACGAAAAAACACTCAAGCGAAACGAAAGGCACCCCGCATCCACCTGCGAACTGATATCATTGACCACCTAACGAGGGAGGGGATGGGGAATTAAACTTAAAGAAAAATAGGGGCAGAAATAAAAGGGACCAAAGAGCATGTATACCCTGGATAAGTTAACTGAAAAAGGAAACTAAAGTATGAAAAGTAAACCTGACCTAGCCTAGTTTCAGGATGGGTTGCACGAGTTCAACCCAGGAAGAGCAATATCCTGATGCTCATCCGAAAAAATACCAGGGAAGTATTTATACACAAAGCACAATGAGGCGTTTTTTTACAACTAAAAATAAATATATTGCCTTTTAATAGCCATGTATAAATTATTTACGAGCCAAAGAATATGGTTAAGATTATTTGCAAATAACAATACGAACGAACTTTGGGTTCAATATAAAAAAGAAAAAATTACGACTTCGTTTTCTTCAAGTTCTCGCTGATTTTGAATATAATTATTATTGACGGCAGCATTAAAGATATTCCTCGCTTCTTATAGGAAGCCTTTAATTCATTATCTTTAAGCGATGCATAAATAGCTGTCAATTCTCCCCCTAGTCATATGCCTTTTATTGTGTCTTCTATGGATATGGATGAGTGAAGAAATTCAATAAAATATATTCAAGAGTAATCAATGCATTATATTAAAAATATAAAATACAAAGGGGAGTTAAAAACTATTGCATCTTTGAGGTTTTGGTTGTATATTTTGAATCCTTTTCCTTCGGAATTTTTTCTTCGTTCCTACAAATTTCATTCATATTTTTTCATTCCTTGATTTTACACGATAACGAGGCCAGTAACTAATTAGGGTCGTAGGTGCATTATGTTTACTGCAGCCGCAGTATCTGCGGTGTTTCATGGGTAGGATGAAAGGAACATTCTACAAACCGGTTTGAATTAAGTTTTTCTCCTCCTAGACTAGTCGCTAACCAAGGCTATAGGAGACAGTCTAAAGGCGTGGAAGATACATGTTCATAGCTTTCTTATGGTACGAAAGTGAATTTAATGAACTCGACTGGAATTCGAAAGCCACTCAACGGTTCTTCAATCTGAGTCGTTATTAATCCCTCATAACTGCTTGTGAAATGTTTGTAGCCCGACTGATGTTGCACATATATATCTATTTTTTCTTTTTTTCTTTTTCACTTTGTCGAGACCCTTTCAACACGCCTCGTGGCTAATTTAGGTTTTAGAGTATTGCTTTAACTTTTCATTTTTTTCTTTATTTCTTTGTTTCTTTCTTTCTTTCTTTCTTTATTTATTTCCTTCTGCATTTCTCTGCCCCCATGCGTATTTTATTAAACTATTCCCTTTTCTAGTCTTTCTCTCATTCTTTCTTTCCATTTCTTTCTGTCACTTTCTTTCTTTCTTTCTTTCTTTCTTCCTTTCTTTCTTTCTTTCTTTCTTTCTTTTGTTCTGCAATTCTCTCCCCCAGAGAATGCATATTTTATTAAACTATTCCCTTTTCCTTTCTTTCTTTCTTTCTTTCTTTCTTTCTTTCTTTCTTTCTTTCTTTCTTTCTTTCTACCGTTTTTTCACTCCAGACAACGCCTTTATTATTATTTTTTTCTATTTGTTGTTTAATTTTAATTCCTGCCTTCCTTTTGTCCTCCTCCTCGTATTTTATTAATTCTTTCTTTCTTTCTTTCTTTCTTTCTTTCTTTCTTTCTATATTTATCTCTTTCTTTTTTTTCTTTCTTTCACTTTCTATCTTTCTTATCGTTTCTCGCATCAGACAGCATCATTCTCCTTAGATTCTTGTATTTGTGGATTTATTTTCTTCCTTCTTTTTTTTCTCCTTTGTTCTTCCCCTTCTTATTTTGTTAACTCGTTCTCCTTTTTCTTTCTTCTTTTCTCTTTGCCTTCGCCATCTTTAAGCATTTTTGTCTTTTTTACAATTCATCCCTCTTGTCTCAGATTCATTATTCAGCATCCATTAAACCGGACACCATTTCATTCCGTCCAAAGATTGGTTTTAATTCTTATCTCGAGATTCATTATTCTTCCTCCAAGGACACATACCGTAATTCCCCATTTATAAAACGCATTTTTTTCTTAAAAAATATTTTTTTAAAATTAGGCGTGCGTATTATGCACAGCTACAAAAAATCTTTAAAAAATTGCCGTTTCAAAGGTCGATTTCAGTTTGCGAAATGACTACTTACCACAAACATACGACAATTTGTCACTAACATTCGGCGATTGTGACCCCATAAGAATGTCAACTACAATCATATGTACCTAAGAATACTTGCAAATGTAAAATAAAATAAGACCTATCATAAAACTAAATTAGAAAATTATTAGTCTATGTTTATAGCCATTTTTTTTTAAAATGAGAGTAGGAAACGCTAGCAGTGATAAAATTGGAGAGGTACAATTTATAGATTGATTACCAAACAAGGCGTGCGTATTATGCGTGAGTAGAAGCATTTTCCTACACTTTCAGCATAATTTTAGGGGTGCGTATTATGAATGATGGCGTATTATACATGGGAAATTACGGTATCCCTGTAGTTAAAAGCGTTGGTTGGATCCAGTGACTTGACCAAAGAGTTCAATACCTGGCTACTGTAGTGGCAAACAAAAATTTGAAGAGTTGAGTCAAAGGAAGATAACTGAGCATTCCGAAAGAGGCCTGGCATGTAGAACTAGAACAAGTCTACCACAGTGGACGAAATAAACGTTTCAGTTCGAAATTCCAATTACTTGAAAAAGGCCGAAACCTTCTGAATATGGCATCAAAGATGAGTACAAATGTCTAAACTAAATAGTGTACATAAATATAGTACTTCATCTCAGAAATATAGATAGGTATTCTTTCTTCACTTTGGTTGAATCGCTGTTCTCTTGGCCTGAGTATTTCGGGAAAATGAAAATGTCTTATTATAGCGAAAACAAATTGAAAATGTGTTATCGTCAATAACATCCATTAAGGGTGTTCCTTCAAGTACGTCAATATAATACACTTTGTGCATTTGAATATTTCTGTATGCAATTTGTTGTTGCAATAAATCAAAACGATGCATAAAATATAAAGTGAATCCTGTGCAGATTCAGACGTGAACAAAGATAGCAAGTAGCATATCCATTATGTTAATGGTCACATGCTTGAATTACGCGGTAAAATTTAAAAGATTACGTAAAATACAAAGATACTTTTATGAAAAAATAAAATTACCAGTAAGACATGATTGAAAAAATATTACCAGTAATAAAACATTCTTTACAAAAATACATCAATGAAAGCTGATCTCCACACTCATTTTTACAAAGAATACATATTCTATTCATACGAACCTATCTTAAAAATTGTGTTACCATTGTATAACCCATATTACCGTAAAACAATATAGACCAAACCAATGTCTGGAGAAAAAATCTTTTTACAAAAATACATCAACGAAACCTGATCTCCAAACTGATTTTTGCAAAGAATACATATTCTATTCATATGAACATATCCGAAAAATCTTGTCGGCATTAAATAACCCATTGAGATTGATATACCGTAAAACAAAATAAACCGAAACCCATATTTTTTTTTTATTTTTACTTAAAATTGTGTGAATTACATCTATCAGGCTGCATATTCCAAAATTCTCATCGGAAAGTGTGCTCTCTAGCAGGTTCGATCCCTGAGTCTTCCTTTAAGCAATGCTGTAATTAGTTAGCCATTGATTGATGCCTCTTAATAAGAAGAATTTAATTTGCTCACGTTCCTTGTGTCATAATAAAATTAAAGATATATTTCATGCACAAAGAGATAAGTGAATTAATTGAATTAGCCACAAAGATATTTACTTACAAGCAGTGCCTTGCCTTGTGGTATAAATAACTATTGCATATCCGTAGCCAAATATCTTCTTCTTGTTCTTCTTCTATGTTCTGTGTTCCTATAGGACGTTGGCGGTCATGGCTCTCCACAATTTCATGTCCTTTGTAGCTCTTAATAATTTTGTCTTTATGCCGTCTCTTCTAAACACTGATCGGACATTCATTCACTTGAGCTCGCCATGGAGGCCATGCGTTGCTTTCCACTGTCTCTTTTAAATTCTATCTTTTCTGTGAGTATTAAATTTCCCATGTTGTCTTTTTTCATTACGTAACCGTGAAATTCCAACTGTATCTTTCTGATGTTAAAAAAAACCTGTTGACATTGTCTTTAGAACTTTGCCGTTACTTACATGTTCGATCCATGATAAACAGCAAGGGTCGGCTACCTATGCCAATTTCAAATGGAATGCAGCCAGGGTCACAAACTCACATCAATCAACCAAATATATATATATATATATATATATATATATATATATATATATATATATATATATATATAAGAAAACATGTTGGATGAGCATTTGCTTTAGTAAGGTTTATTCTGTACAAGGTCCGGGAACCACTCGATGTAGAGAGTTACGTTAGCGGTAGCTTATATGGATAGGAAGGAAAGATAATGATTAACTCTAGAGTTGAACTGGTTAAGATTGTAGTGATCGGGGAAACATCCTCTTGGGAGTCTGTTCCACAGAGCAGTGGTTCGCTAGGAGAAACTATTTGATTGGAAATTACTTCTCGCCTATGGAATACGGATGGAATGGGGATGGGTTACTACTATGTAAGTGACATGTCGGGTGCTGGGCGTAAAGGTCAGACCTGATGACTTTCCATTGAAATAGCGGTAGAACAGTTACAGACTCACCACCCACTGCCTGTGAGAGAGAAAGAGAGAGAGAGAGAGAGAGGTTGGAGGGTGGCAAATAATTCTTCCCCAACACAGAGACATTTTTGAACACTATCAAGACTGGAAAGTGAGTACAGAGCAGCTACCGCCCAAATATGCGTTATGTCCCGGAAAGGGATATTTTTGTTCGAAGTAGCTAAGTGGTTTTGGCTACTGTAACCGGGTAGGACAATCTAGCAGGTAACCGTAATGGACTGGTACTCGTCGTAGTGGTAGGCAATAGGCGTAGGCAATAGGCTTATGCAATAAGCGTAGGCAATAGGCGTAGGCGACGTACCTCCACATCCGTCTGTATTTATGGCTGACACCAGCCAATCATATTACTGCGTGGGGAACCCAGGTGTATGCATATTCATTACATCAATATGGCAACATTACTCCATTTTGGGCCTGATCTGTTTCTTATAAATATAGAGGATATTATGCGGAGTCAGGTACTTACTGGAACGTTACAAAGAGTCGATTATTTTACCTGCATCTTTAGCAGTCGATTTAGTGTTCTACTTGCGATTCCGACCAATTCTTTTCCAGTTAGAGGTCGGCATCTAACCAGACGTCAAGTATCTTGAATGGCCCGCCCGTACAAATGAAGAGCCAATGAAAACAAGGAAAACAATCAATTATATATATGCGTGTATTCGGGTGTGCTTTGGGGACATTACAGTCTCTAAACAAGAATATGTATGATGTAGGTATATTTTTATATCACCGTGGTGACTCTTATCTTGTGGAAATCAGACTTGGACGTGTTTAAATTGCTAAGATATGACAGTGACGTTCCCGTTATGAACATAACACATAAATTATTAACATTTATAGAACAGAATATTATGATGATAATAATCAAATAAAGAAAACATTTTCACTATATCGGAGAGTGAATATTAAAAATCATTACATTATGTAGAAACACACACACACACACAGAGAGACACATTCCTCTTTTTATGTGTCATGTCCTTTCAGGGTGTAGGCGGTCATGGCTCTCCACCTCCTTCTATCCCTTGCAGCTCTCAATAAGTTCCTTCTCTCTGTTACCTCCCCCAGACCACGTTCTGTTATCCACAGTCTGAAGTCGGGCGACCGGCTGATCGGTTGAACTCTCTGCCTTCTGGCGGGGAGGAACCCGAAGGAGGCTACGCCGAAGGGCGGATTCTCTTTCGGGGAGCTAAACCGATCCTGAACCCGTTTATACGGGTTCAATGGGCATATTTTTGGCCGAGCCCAAGGGCTCGGAATTCCCACGTTAAAAAGGCCTTGTGGGAGGGTAACTGAATATTGTTCTGTTATCCACTTGCTCGCTGCTTTTCCTTGTCTCTCTTTCTTTCTATTCGACCCGTAAGTATCAGATTCTCCAGGCCCTCCTTCCTCATTATGTGTCCCAGAAACTCTAGCTGCCTCTTCCTGATATTAAGTATAAGCCTCCTCCTTGTTTGCATCCTCTGTAAGACCTCATCGTTGCTCACACGCTCGGTCCATGATACTCTAGCATTCTTCTGTAGAGCCACATATCCGTCGCTTCGAATCTCTTCTTCATCTTTGAAGAAATCGTCCAACATTCGCTGCCATAAAGAAGAACAAATGTCACGTAACAGCTCAGTATTCTTTTCTTTGTTACCAAAGAAATCTTACTGTCTCGCAATTCTCTGCCCAGCTTTTGGAATGCGTCCTTGGCCATCCCAATACGTCTGCGTTTGCTTGATTCTTGTGATACCGACCTTCAAATTGCATTTGGGGGTCCTCTTCTTACTGAAGACCATGCATTCTATCTCCTTATAGTTTATGCTTAGTACTTTCTTCTCACTCTTAGTCACTACCTTTTATAATTTCTTTTCCGAGTCTGCTATCTATTCTCTGTGATCTGCATATCTTACGTTGTTAAGGTCGTGGCCGCCAATGCTAAATCCCGGTATGGTTTCCAATTCTCTCAAAATTGCCTCTCTATATAGGTTGAACACGTCGGGTTTGAAGACACATCCTTTCTTAACGCCCCCTTTCTATTTTTGTATATTCACTGAACTCATTCCTTATGCGTGTGCATGCTGTTTGCTGCCAGTACAGGTTCTCCAAAACTCTGATATCCCTCCCGAATATATCAAGACTGCTGAGTCAAACATTTTGAATGTTTACGCGTGAGTAGACCATTTTTCTTTCTTTAGACAGACTTTATTTCGTAAACTGGCCAACGCTTTCGAGAGAACTTAATAAAGAAAATGTGCTCTGAATTC